AAAAACTCAACAATTGAAGAAGTTGTTGGTCAGTTAATGATGGTACAATGGAATCAATCAATAATGTATGATGAATATTTCAATGCGTGTCAGCCATTCGAATGTACTTACACTCATCAAATTAGGAATAAACTGATTTATATTGTGACAACACTGATCGGATTGCTAGGTGGTTTGATAACAACGTTGAAACTAATTGTACCACGAGTAGTAAGATTTGCAAGGAGAAAGCAAGAACAACCAACAGCACATATTGGTAAGAGAACATCAGAAAAGACTATTTATCTTTCTATATACAGTGTCGTAAATAGGGGGGGGGGCGCGTGGGGCGCATAGCCCCCCCTGCTTCCGAAAACTAATAGGAAAAAGGGGTTTGCGCCCCCCCTGCTTCTAGAAAATTCAGTTTTTTTGACCATTAAAATAGAAAAACTAGGCTTGCGCCCCCCCCTACACCCCCCCTGCTCCGACACCTGACTTACGCCCCTGTCTATATATATATATGTGTGTGTGATGTAAACTAAAAGATCTATTAATCGAGACATGTAGTTTTAGTAAGAGTATGAAATTTCAGTAAACTTATGACTGGGGCTGTTCTGAAAAGAAGTGAATCAGACAGGATGAAATAGTACTAAGTATGATGTTATCTCTCTTAATACCGTATCTTCTTTGTAAATCATATAGCATCCTGTTTATCACTATGTGATATATCAAGAACTCATAGTCATAGGACTTTTCAGAGAGCCATATGTGTTACTGGGGCCAAAAATTTAAATAGAACTTGAATATAATCAGAGAGATCGATAGAATATGAGAATGTCAGTGTTTAGAAAGCCACCGGAGTAAGTAGCAGAAGCCATAATATTTTGTAATGGTTTATGAAGTTATAGTACAATGACATATTGCAGATAAGAAATATCATTCGAAAGGATGCATAATCGTTAGGAGGAAAGGGTTTGTTAGATTGGCATCTATGCGTTATATCAGACATAACGTTTATGTCAATTCTATGATAAAAGAAAAATGGTTTTATCCTTTATATTTACTAAGCTTTTGTTTCATTTATTTTTTTAGCAGCGATGAGTATTAATGAACGAATTCATCTATTATACCGAAAAGTTAAGTCGTATATTCAAGATTTTAATTTATTTCCATCGGTTCCACCATCAACCGATGAACATCAGCTTCGAAATGAAAATATATCCACTAGAATATTCCTTTATCTGTCAATTTTATTTTTGGCTATTCTTCTATTATACACTTCTTTGATTAATGTAACACAAACTATGAATGTCAAAGCACCTACCATGACACAATATTTAGAGTTATATTCAACATATCCACAAACATTAAAATGCCCATGTAAACAAATATCCATGAATTATGACACATTTCTTTCTATTGAATATACATTTCACCAAGTATGTACAAGTGTTTTTTATTACCCAAGATTGGATTAATTTCCTAAATGAAGAATATTATTATGGGGGCGATTTATATGTTGATGATTATCGTTTGACAAGTATATTTATATTTCAAGCTTTAAATACATTTTGTGGATTAGCCAAGCAGACCACCTCTATTCGTCTGAGTCAGTTTTATTCAACTCAGTATGTTAGTGCATTTGTAATACCGTCAGAAATATTTGACCCACAAGTGCAGACATTGGTAGAGCAGTTTATATCATCAACAACTCATGATTTTTCGTTGTCAATATCTACAGTAAGAGACACAACTCAAAGTAATGCTTTATTCTCTAGCCAACAAACCAACTATGAAATGTATCTGTTGGGCGGACGTGGTTATGCATATACAGATCCATGGTCCTATGGTGATTGTAGTTGTTCCTTATCAGCTACATGTATCGAACAATCATCAATGTTTCGATATTCTAATGGAAGAGTATTATATTCCGTGCCTGGTATGTATACTGGATGTTATATAGTTGAATCACTACTTCAATCCAATCTTCAATGTTTTTATAATCAAACTTGTATAAATAAAGTAGTATCATATTTCGTAACACATCCACTAATGAATACAACAGCTCTTAACAACTCATTACCAAGCCAGTTTTTGCCAAACTCAACACTTAAAGAAGTTATCAATGAGATAATGGTTGAACAATTTATTCCATCAATAATATATAATAGTTATTACAATGCATGTCAGCCAACAGAATGTACTTACACTTATCAAACAAAGAATAGTATTATCTATATTGTAACGACACTGATTGGTCTACTTGGTGGTTTGATAACAGTATTGAAATTGATCGTACCACCAGTAGTGATGTTTATAAGAAAAGAGAAAGAACGATCACGACCAGACATTGGTAAGAGATATAATAATTTCTTAAGAGTACTTTATGCTTCCTTAGTTGCTAATACTTCTTATTTTTCAAATGACATTTTAGCTAAATATTTCGCAAGAGTATGAATGTATAATAAGGCGGAACAATAAATATAATTTTCTTATCTTCAAATTAACTTACAATGTAACTAGATCTATAGCTGTTTCAACAATAGATTAAATCTCTGTCCTGTATACTAATCATTGATTTTTAACCAGATATAACTTTCATAGAATAATGTGAATAAACATTAGATGAATCATGTACATTGAGATGTAAATTTTTTAATATATTATCCTGAATCGATAAAGATAAATTTTATTCACATGAATTGAAATAAAGAGAAATCTTACTTGAATATTAAATAATATACTTGCAAAATAAATTGATGAGTGGAGATTGTAGAGAGATGTTCATAATAAGTCAGTTTTCTCCATTAGTTAGTGCGTCCACCTGTTTTATCTCCATAACGAAAATTTTCAGAGGATGTTTTTTATTTTAGAAATTATTCAAGGAGAAGAAAGATATAGCGCAAGTCAAAGGGTGAAAAATTATTTAGTTACATACAATACGTTTCCATCGTTTCCACCATCAACCGATGAACGTCAACTTCGGAGTGAACGAATATCAACTAGAGTATACATTATTTTGTTAACTTTATCTTTAGCTATCCTTCTATTATATACTTCTTTGATTAATGTAACACAAACTGTGAATGTCAACGCACCTACCATGACAAAATATTTGGACTTATATTCAACATATTCACAAGCATTAACATGCCCATGTAAACAAGTATCTATCAGTTATAATACATTTATTTCCATTGAATATACATTTCATCAAATATGTACTAGTGTTTTTATTAGTCAAGATTGGATTGATTATCTTTCTAAATCTTACGGGAGCAATGGCGTACATATGCATGACTTTCGTGACACAAGTCCATTTACATTTCAAGCCTTGAGTACTCTTTGTGATTTAATCAATCAAACCGTCTCTATTCGTCTGAGTCAGTTTAATTCAAGTCAATATGTTAGTGCATCTGTGACATCATCAGATGTGTTTAAATCTCAAGCTCAGTCATTGATAGATCAATTCAGATTATCAGCAACTAATGATTTCTTGTTATCACTCACTACAATACGAAACACAACTCAAAGTAATGCTTTATTTTCTGGCCTACAAACTAATTATTATTTCATTACACAAAATGATACAAAATGGCCAGATCCGTATCCAGTAGCGTATGGTAACTGTACTTGTTCATATTCACCTAAATGTATCGCGCAATCTGGTATTTACAATTATCCAGATCCAACGATTTTATTCAGTGTACCGGGTATTTATATTGGATGTTATGTAATTGAATCATTACTTCAATCAGATCTTCGATGTTTTTATAATCAAACATGTATAGATCAATTACAAGCACATTTCTTATCGACTTCTTTGATGAATATAACAACACTTGACGAATCATTGTTAGGTAAGCTTCGGAAAAAACTCAACAATTGAAGAAGTTGTTGGTCAGTTAATGATGGTACAATGGAATCAATCAATAATGTATGATGAATATTTCAATGCGTGTCAGCCATTCGAATGTACTTACACTCATCAAATTAGGAATAAACTGATTTATATTGTGACAACACTGATCGGATTGCTAGGTGGTTTGATAACAACGTTGAAACTAATTGTACCACGAGTAGTAAGATTTGCAAGGAGAAAGCAAGAACAACCAACAGCACATATTGGTAAGAGAACATCAGAAAAGACTATTTATCTTTCTATATACAGTGTCGTAAATAGGGGGGGGGGCGCGTGGGGCGCATAGCCCCCCCTGCTTCCGAAAACTAATAGGAAAAAGGGGTTTGCGCCCCCCCTGCTTCTAGAAAATTCAGTTTTTTTGACCATTAAAATAGAAAAACTAGGCTTGCGCCCCCCC